CCCCCCCCCCCCCCCCTAGAGTGTTGCAGCGTCGCCGGTCATGCTCTAGCCGTCCAGCCGATCGAATGAGATAAGAAGAAGAAGCAGTTTCCAGAAAAGAAAAAAAGGAAGCAAAAACGACGTCGTTTTAATAATAGGTTTAAAATAATTTATTTGACCCCAATTGACCCTGCCATACCCTACGGCCTACTCAGCCCAATAGCCCGATTGTGAAAAAATAGAGGGGCGCAATTGGCAGTTGCAAAAACGGGCAGACGGAGATGTCTTCCAATTTTGAATTCTTCCAATTTTGAGTTTTTTTGTGCTTCTTCGTCTAATCTTCGGATCTTCTCTCATTGTCTAGATATATGTAAATTTTAATTATCTAATTTTGAGATTTATTTCTTAATATTTGAAATTTTTGAATATTGCTAAATTATGTTTTAAATTTTGAATATTTATTTTGTCCTGTGGTTCTAGTGTGTTGATATTTAAATATTTGATAAATGTTAATATAATTTTAAGGTCTAGAGATTAAGAAATATGAAATTATTGTTTTAAGGTTATTAATGATGAAGTTATTATGCCGCACTTTCAAAAGTTGGCATCTCGAAAAAAATTTGTACGATCTCAAAAAACTCTTACTCCTTTGCACAAATAGAATATATGTTTAGTTGCACTTTGCCAATTAAGATAGTTACTATTTTAGTACTCCCTCCGTTTTCAAAAGCTCTTCCTCTTTCATTTTTTACTTCCAACAAAACACTTCCACTTTCTGATTAAAAAAACCACTTTTACCCTTACTTTTTCATACCCTACCTATCACATCATACTTTTTCTCTAATACTCAGTCCATCACATCTTACTTTAACCATCACATCAAGGGCAAAATTGGAAGTCAACTACAATTTAACACTTCCTTATTTTTACACAAACTCAAAATAGGAACACTTTTATAGAACGAATGGAGTATTATGTATTTTGTTTATTTATTAAATGAATTTTTGCCCCCCATGAATTCTTCCCTGGCTCCGCCACTGCTAGAGACTGGACCGGATTGGACTACCGACCAGACTAGATTGGACTAGTGGTCTTATTTGGTCTTTGATTTGGATAAGAAGACCGGACTAGTTAGGACCGGGTTTTTAAAAAGACTAGTCTGGTCCAGTCTTTTACTGTAGCAGTCTTTTCCAAAGACCCGTCTAGTCTGACCGCATCGGTCCTTTTGCTCATCTCTACTCTTAAAGAGATTTTTTGAGGACCAGACCAAGTTTAGCTCTCAACTTCTCAAATGGCCCTTTTGAAAGAGATTTTGTAAATATGTTAGCAACATTGTCACTGCTGCGGACCTCAAGTGCAGTCGTGTAGAGATAACTCCATCGAGAACTTTCTCGCGAATATACTGATGCTCGATTTTGAGTTGAACACTTCTTGCTGCAATCTGAAAGAAACTTCACAATCATCTTCTTCGTATGCGAGCTGAATATCGGCGAGCTAAAGAGAAGTGGAACCATGACGTGTGCGTATCACGCCGTGAAGAAGTTTATCACCAACAAAATGACAGTCTATCTCTAGGTGTTTCGTGTGCTCGTGAAAGACTGAACTAGTGGCAATATGAAGTGCAGTCGTGCTATCCATGATCATAAAATCAAGTATGCAAAATGCCTAGCGAA